TGATTCCTCTCAACTTTTGCCAGTTGAATCCTGTAATCCTGTAATTTGCCAGTGCTAGTAGCCTTGCAGTACATTTCTCTGCCAGTGACCACCAATTCTCCTAAAGCAGCTGTGAAGAAAAGATGAATGGCTCTGACAGGTAGGCATGTCTGTAGGTCCTTATTCACCCTTTTCTTGTTCAGTAGTAGCTGCATAAAGCAATAAGTGGTGGTCCCATCCATCTCCTTCAATAACTGCTTAGTCCAATACAACATCGCAGTGATCTTGAGTACAAGGTAGGAAACACCCTAGACTGTAAGATACATCACTGCATGGTGGGTATACAGAATTTGAAGACTCCACTTATCCTGGACCACATATCTTTGTACTTTGAGAGGAAAGCTGGAGAAAGCCCATATGCTCACTAAGAGAACATAAAAACTCTACATGTTAGGTGCCCCAGCCCAGAATCCAATCCTGGAGTCAAAATCTACAAGGCAGAAGTGCTAACTGCCATGGACAGTGCCTACTGGTGATTCCAACCTTTCACAAAATGCAACTTTAATGTTGCTTTAGGGGCTTATATCCTCTCACTTCCTTGTGGATATATAGAATATATCCTCTCATGTCCTTGTGGAGTGTACTATACACATACTTCGTCTCCAGTTCTTCTATTAAATACATCACAGATTGAGCCTCTTAGAGATGTGATTAAACAGCATTCTCAGCAAGCATTAATCTCTCATTACTATTTGCTTCGGTAATAGTTCATTTGAAAAATGATGTTGAAATGCTAAGGATATAGTACAGTATATGGAGACCCCCTGCTAAAAAATAGACAGCCTTGGTTGAAAGAAGACAGAATAATTCATTATTTCCCAAGAGATGTCCAGGTTCTTAGCAGTAAAGCATAGCTTGTGGAGGGAATGGGGAAGCAGTAGTCAGTGCCGTGACATTAATGAGTTTATACAGGACAGGAATCCTTTTATGTCAAGGGGATACTTTCAGGAGGCTTCAGGTCTTTCAAGCATATGGTGAACCATTCCCAGTGACACCACACCACAGGTGGGTTTACATTAATAATTCCTGTAGGTTTTCCCCCATAGCTAATCATGAAATATTCACCATAGATGTGCTTCAGACATAGTGAATACTGACAGTATGCACTGGCTTCATTGATTAGTCCATTGCAGGAGGGTAAGATTTGGTTATAATTTGGTTTTGCATCATTTCGCAAAAGATGCAGTAAGATAAAAACTCATGAAGCAATATGAACCTATTACCTACAGTATAACACTTCCAATTTTGAATTTTATTTAAAGTTGTGGTTTTCATTTTTCCTAGACAGGTTGTTGTGTGATTGATAATTATTCCTCTTTAAGACTACCATGAAATTAATCCAAGATCATAAAGGCAGCTCAGTGATTAAATGGCAGGGACAAAAATAAGATGACAGTCATTTGAGGTAGAAAAAAAAATCCCAAATCCTTCTAAAGAGACTGAAGTCAATACCAGAGATGAAGATGTACTTAGCTGTTCTTGTTTACTAGCAGAGTATGCTCCATCAGGCCCTTATTTCACAACTCCAAATAATTAAAGTCCATAGGAAATAGCATGATAAACATATTTGTTTAACAAGGGACACAACGTCTTTTTTATTTGGTATTCCTGTATCAGACACATAAAGATATGTAATGCGAGGTTTCCAGCAAAGCCCCCATTTCAATAAGGAACGCCAGATTGACTTTTAAAATATATATATATAAAATAGGAACTGAGGAAGAACTGGTAAAAACACTTCTGTACAATAAAATCAATAAGCACATAATTCTCTGGAATGTTCCTATGGCAAAGTGATTAGCATTGCTGGCTTACAGTGCTTGGGCCCTGAGTACAATTCCGGACCTGGGGAGCTATCTGTGTGAAATTTGTTCTCCCCATGTGTGCTTGGGTTTCCTCCGCAAGCTCCAGGGTGCACCCTGCTTTGCACCTGTTGCTTGCCAGGATTGGCTCTAGTTTCTATCACCTGTATTAAATAAAGCAGTTAGAAAATGGATGGATGGATGGATGTTCCCTCAACTTAGGAAAATGTTATGTTGTGTATTTTGACAGTTATGTTTCCAGACATTAGAGGTAATAAAATTGTTTTAAAGGAATATAATACTGTTACAAATGGGAGGTTACAAAAATGGAAATATCAGGAATTGACCAAGTGGATTAGTCAATAAATATTCATTACACCCAAATTGTAAGTGATACCCGAACCCGTCCAGAATATACCTGAACGGTTGGTATAGTTACACAACACATAAACAGACAACACACACGTTTATGTACTTACAAGTTTACAGACAAGGCATTGCTGAGACCTTACATCCTAATCACCCAGAAAACCCCAGACTGCTACCGAGTATTCAGCTCTTAAATAATGCCTACAGAGGCCAAAATAAAGAGATAGGCTGCCTTCTAAATAAAACAGAATGCAATACAACCTGCACTTAAAGCTCTCTGCAAACCTGCATGCCACAAAATATATGGGACCTTATCTCCCTATTCTAAAAATACACCCCCAAGCAGGAAAGGCCGTGTTTAACTGAGATATATTTTACTCAGGAAACACAAGTTCCTTAAAAACACAGAATATCATAAAGCAGCCAGGCGCAAGCTTCTAGTCCCGATTCCTCCTCTCCTCTCCCTCTTGTGTTCTGACCTTCTTTTCCTCTTCTTCCCCCTTCTTACCTCCTGATCTCATCATATTTAATGTGTTTCTGGATTGTTGATTAACACTTAATCATTTACCCACAACTTAATTAACTAAGGTAAACAAGGTAAACTTATGATGTGCTCTGATCACAGATTCTAGACACACTCTCAGCAAACATCAATTCTTCTTTGAAGCTGTAAATGTTTACACTGCCGGTGTTACACACTTTATCTAAATTCTTAGAGCCTCTTCCTATTCACCCCTTTACCTGTTACAATACATTTTTCTATTTCTTTTGCTTAGTAAGACAACAAGTCATGACACCACATATGTATTAAAAGCCAAAATTAAGCAAACATCTAAAATGCTTACAGAAACTGTAATGAGAAAATGAAACTATGTCAACCACATACAGTACATGTAGATAACATATGAAAAGTTATCTATTTAAAAAGCAATGCCATGGATATATAATTCTATATCTTATTTGTTTTATATACAGTAGGTTATCTCAGCTAGTTCCTTTCAGAAACTCAAGTTCTGTGACTGAGACAAAAAAGCAACAGTATAATCTGGAATGTGGTTAGAAGTGTCCATTAAAACAGACTTCATGGGTTTCCTAATGTTCTGAGCACTTCAGACTGTTTTTTCACTAGTTATTACTGACATACTGACGTAGATACCATGACTCATACCATGGAGATATAAAACAATGATATGCATACTTCATGACCAAGGTAAATGTTGTGCAAATCTAGCACAGAGAGAAGTCATCATGTACAGAACAAATCTTATAATTTTACTTAAAGTGTCTTTTATAAGAAAGGCTTTAATAAATGTGTCTAATATCACAGATGTTATGTCTGCATGATACATTTATTAAAACTTGCTGGTGATTTCAGTACCCACATGAAAAACTACCATTATAAAGCAGAGAGTTATGGTGTGATGGGGAAAGCTATGAAAATATTGTACCACTGGGAACAAACTAGTCAAATTGTAATTGAGGAGAGGTATATAAACAGGTGGCATTTTTAAATTAATTTTTGAGTTTCTGATTTCTCACCCCCAGAGTCCATTCATTCTCTACACTTCCTCCTCAGTGGTGCAATGAATGACCCACAGCAATCAAAAGTCTAAAGCCTGCGCAAATTTGATTTGTTTAGGTAACACCTGTTGTCTCTCAGCAAAGGAACATGTAAAAGTGTATTCAATGCTGGGAAAAAAGGAGACAGTGTTTTGGCTGTGGAGCCTTCGACAGCCGAAACGGCTTTCTTTTCAGCATGGAATAAATCTTTACTTCTTCCATTAATTTTCGATTACACATTTGTCTCTTTACTATTATCCATTGAATTAAATCTTCTAGAGATGGGGTTTTCTCTTAAGTGTGTGAATCAAAGCCAAGAACAACAACACAACAACTCAGACAATTTCTATTAAAAACACAATTACTGACTGGTAAAAGGTAACAATATTTTTGCCCTTCTTTGTGATATTACAGATGGTGTTGCAACTTGTATTTACAATAAGTTATCAGATTTGTTCATATTTCCAGGTGGATGCTGCACATTGGTGGTGGTGGTGGAGGGGAGACCCCATTACCTGTAAAGCGCTTTGAGTGGAGTGTCCAGAAAAGCGCTATATAAGTGTAAGCAATTATTATTATTAATTATCTTCATGCAAGGTGTATAAAAGTCTAAAGTGAAATGCAGACTTCTCAAGCACCTGGGTGAAACGTACACTTATTTTATAATTATGAGCTCCTTTAAATGTAGTTTGCATCGAACAGTTGTATTGTTACAACATTCTTGTACTGGTTTTAATTGAAATAATCCCCAGCCTAATTACAGTATATACTGTGTTTAGGAATACATTGATTTATTATTTTTACTCGTGGGTTTAATATCGCAGTTTTAATAGTATAACGATACGTACTCCGCAGCCATTAGCAAAATTTCGTAACCTCTTTGGCTCTCGTGTTTTAGACTACTTTTCGTGTGCAGTTTTAATTGTTCAGAAATTCAAACGGACTATTTCAGTACCGCTCACTGCCGCAGTACATTGCATTCAAACTATCCGCCTTCTTACTGTAAGTGGAGTGACGCAGGGTTAGGCTGTTTCTGTGAATGACAAACATCAAGCCCACCCACGGTGCAAGACCACAGCCAATAACCGAATCTTTCCACCAGGAGAAGCCTCCGAAGTGCGGCTCCGAAGAGGAGCAGCAGTCGTTCACACCAATGGTTACTTTCTGAGCAGAGTACACCCCGCCCTTATTCAAAGTCCAACCAACCAACAGTCGGAAATCATGAATAACCAACTAGACTGAATAGGGGAGTGACGCAGAGGTTACAGATGCCCGAGTTTTTTTTCTCCCTCATCAAATTGTTGCAAATTTGGGGAAAAAAAATATTACGAATTGTTTCATTTTCTTGATTTGAGATAGGTTTCCTATTCTTTTTTTCTATTCTCAGTTTAAGGCCGAATAATCGCGCAACTCAGTCCTCTGCATGTTGTTGATATTGGTCTATTAAGTTGATGTCGTGTCGTTCCTAGAAAAAAAGATGCCGCAGCCGAAATCCCGTAAGATCGCCATCCTGGGATACAGATCCGTGGGTAAGTGGAAATATTTTGAGTGCACGAGAGGACAAACTAACGCATTGTGGGAGAAACGGATTGTGGGGGGGAAAAAAGACACCGTGAACCTGAAAAGCCGAGCTGGGGTGTAACGTTATGCTTTGCATGGGTTGATAGGCGAGGGAAACCGTGGAGAAATATAATGATGATTGTGTCACTAGTCACGACTGTTTAAATTTCCTCATGATGCTGTTTGGATAAGGTGACTCTTCCCAATATGTGCCTAAAACCTCCGCGATGCCCTTTTGAATTAAAAATGTTAAGGTTCAGGTTATTTGATATTTGGTTTTCTGTATGCGTCCGTGATGCTGGTAAGATGAACTTTTTATATTTTTAATGTGTTTCCTTGCTCTTGTACCGGCACGCAGCCTACATTTCATGAAGCAAACTGGCGGAAGGTGGTATTCGATCTATTTTATACGAATTCGAGATATGCAATTAGAGCCCAGCTGCAGAGTGTAAAGGCTTTACAAGCTTGTCGTGTTGACAGATTTCATAACAGCGTCCCAGAACTTACCTGAATCGCGGTATCTGCTTGCGGTTAAGTAAAGTCACGATAGAGGGAGGAAATGCAGTCGTGAATCGCTGCTGTAGCTTTTTTTTTAAAAAAAATTACGGCATGACAGGGCTGCCATTTTTACAGCTTTTCTTTTGTAACCTTTATCGTGAAACTAAACATTGTTCATCATGAGACGCTTGTGCAAATTGTTAAAACTTACTTGGAGCACTAATAGCCGCGTCCGGTGAAAAGTGCCCAAGTAATATAGCTATTCGGATATAATACAAATATGTCTTAGTTTTTTTTTTTACATATACCCAGCCGCCAGCTGTCAGAATACAAATGGTATCTCCAGAGCATGTGTACGTGTCGTATACAACATCAAAGCCGTTAAGTTACCTGTGACCTCTCTCGCACAACTGCCCAAGAAAGGAAAAGACATTATCTGGAGTGACGCCTGTAGAAACCCACCTCCGGCAGGAACCAACGCTGCAGGCTTTTTGTGTTTCGAGCGCAGTTAGGAGGACAGTCATTTCCCACAAGTTTTTTTGTTCCACGTGAGATCCTGAAATGTTTATTAACATTAAATTGTTTTATAAAGGTGCTACATTATTACAAAATAGTTACATTTTAGTTATTCCCTTTTAGCCTTTTCTGTCAGGACTAAACTACATATTATTATTTTGCTTTTAAAGCTTTTTTTTATCTTTTAAGCTCTAAGGATTTTTGGTGTTGAATCTGATGTAGAATAAGATCATTTGACATAAATGCACCTGGAGATGTGGAAAAGCTGTCCTTTAATAAGCACCTAGGTACAGGGCTGAGGAAACATGTCTTCAGACACCCATGCTTTGCGCAGGTGGTTCACAAGAACAGATAGTTGCGCCGTTAAGCAATAAAACTTTGGAAGATCCTAGAGAGCAGGCATTGAAGTTAACGTATGCAGTACTGTAAACTGTTACATCTTAATTCCAGAAAATTAAATAGTTCATGCTCACCGAATTCCAACAGAAAGCACTTACTGTATATTTTGTAAAGAACTGAGGCCTGACAGTCTGATATATATATATATGAGGCAGAGTACGTGCTGGTGTTCTTGAGAACCATCAGACAATCTCCACAACACGAAGTACAATGGAAGAGAACTTTTTACAGTGCGTCTTTTCAGGCATAGTCAGTTGCTACAGACTCTGGATAGCTGACAGCTGTGGATCCGTGCAGCATAGTAATTTATACTGGACCACTTACAGACCAAAACAAACCCTGGGAGCCTTTGTGCTCCTGCAAGGAGTAGAGTTCTGGCTACTGGAATGTCATAGCCTTGCGGTCTGCAAAGGAGCTGTTTTATTTCAAAACCATGCATCAGAATTCCCCAAGAACGATTTGCCCGTGTCAGTGGTCATGTGCTTTAATACGAATATTATGTGGTGCTGCAGTTCACAGTGGCCACGCAGCACAGAGATGTGGGGAAAGAGTCGGGGTATGGCCTGGGTAATTACCTTACATGATCTCAGTTGAGTTATGGCCCCCTGAAAGCAATGCACTAAAACTTCCAAATTCCTGGGATTACCAACTGCAGATTCTGTGCGAGGAATTCACTGTTAGCCTGCAAACCATGACTCCTGCCCCCACTTACACAACATGTAAGTGCTTTGTTGGTTACATACCGTAACTCAGCAGCATCACGTATTAATCCTGTGATGCCTGTTTTACAGTAGGCATGGTTCACAAATCAGTGCATTTTCAAACTTGGTTTCTCTAATTGAAATGTAAGGGCTGCTTTTGAGTGCTAATGTTATTACATATTGTTAAAACACATCAACAATGGTACTAAAATAAAATTGGGGTTTTAAAATCTTGATATTTGGTTTGTGAATGGCAGAATGGCATGGCTTTCAGTACTGCTGTCTCACAGCTCTTGGGTCCTGGGTTCCCTTTTAAACTGGGGCATGTTTGAGAAGCTTGCATTTTCTTCCCATGTAGTGGGACTTGCGGGGTTGGTTAGTAAGTATCTCTAAATTGTGTGTTTGTACCCTGCAATGGACTGTTTTGTTTCTTTCTGATTTAGCAATTGGTTAATCGGTATCTCAAAATTGTGTGTACCCTGCTATTGACTGTTCTGTTTTCTTTCTGATTATTGTATTTATTTTGGTGATTTGTTTTTGTTTTTATTGCAGTTGTAGCTAAGACCTAGTCAACACAAAAAAGACATCTAAAAGGGACATTTGTATTTCCTTCAACATTCTTGAAGAATCTGATAGACATAGTGGGCTGTACCGTCCACATTACAGTTGTTGTTACTATGTAACCATAATCAGAAGGGTCTGCACCATTTGCTTGAAGACAATATAAATGTCTAAGAAGTGTTTCCCTATGACTCAAGTCAACATAGTCAAAAAGTCCAGCATATGGAACAAGCTAGAAGCTCAGTGACAGATTCCACAGTGTGTCCTGTACATCAGCCCTCACTGCTGTTTAGATGTAGGTCATTGGTGTACACATTATGCCTAGTACTATATTTGAAAGAAGAAAGTGTAGCTTTGATTGCTAATGCAGTGTCTTGAGGAGATTCTGTTTTGGATTAAAGCAGTGTGCTGGGACCACTTTTTTCCAATTCAGTTAGTTTAAAATGTATTGCTAAGGTCATACATTTTACAAACCTTAATATCATTATGGTGGTTAAAAAATCTTTACACTTTAGTGTACAGTATATACTATGTTCTTGGTGTAACCCCAGCATCCTGGCCAAATTTCCCTTTGGCCCTTACAAATCATGACTTCCTAATAATCCCCATCTATGAAATAGCTTCATTACTCTGCTCTCCTCCCCACTGATAGGTGGTGTGTGGGGAGCATTACTCTTGCACTATGGCTGCCATCACATCATCAGCCAGCAGCCATATCACCGTGCAACTCACAACTGGCAACCCACTGAAGCTAGGCAGGTGTGAGCCTGGTCAGTACCTGGATGGGAGACCTCCTGGGAAAAACTAAGGTTGCTGCTGGAAGAGGTGTTAGTGGGGCCAGCAGGGGGCGCTCACCCTGCGGTCTGTGTGGGTCCTAATGCCCCAGTATAGTGACGGGGACACTATACTGTAAACAGGCGCTGTAAAACCGAGGTCCTGACTCTCTGTGGTCATTAAAAATCCCAGGGCATTTCTCGAAAAGAGTAGGGGTGTAACCCTGGCCAAATTTCCCATTGGCCTTTACCAATCATGGCCTCCTAATAATCCCCACCTATGAATTGGCTTCATTACTCTGCTCTCCTCCCCACTAATAGCTGATGTGTGGTGAGCGTTCTGGCGCACTATGGCTGCCGTTGCATCATCCAGGTGGGGCTGCACATTGGTGGTGGTGGAGGAGAGTCCCCATTACCTGTAAAGCGCTTTGAATGGAGTGTCCAGAAAAGCACTGTATAAGTGTAAGGAATTATTATTATAATTATTGGCTGACTATTGCATCTTTTCACTGTTGAATTTTCTGAGTTGGTGTTACTTCTAGATGACATTTAGAATGTGTTCTCGGATCCAAGGAGTATTTATAGTTGGTACAGTTGGGTGGTTAAAATTGCAGGTGGCTTTAATAAACTAGTATTAAGCATATTTAAAATTAGCTTACATGTATATTTAATTTATATTAACAGCACTTCAACTGGAGAATGGTTGCAATATTACTAAGGTGCATCCAAAACAATTGGTAGGTTTAACTTGTATTCGTACTTGAATTACAGAGCCAAATATAGTAGACCCTGTAGTAGTGGTTCCCTTGTAGTATTGCAGTGCTTTACACTTATTGCAGACAGTTCAGTAACCTGAACTATAGTGTTTGAACTGGAATTTTCTGGGAAAAAAGCAATCTGCTGATACTGCTGGTTGTGTCGATTGTTACTATACTTAAGGGGGTAGTGACTTTTTGGTATCGCACATTAAATAAGTACGACCCACTGCAGGAATTATTGGTTGGGTGTCTTGAAAATGATTTTAACACACCAGGTTAGCTTGAAATGAGTTAAAATCAGAGCCCAAAATGGCTATGGCTACAGGGTGGGCTAAGCTCACAGAGTGGCAGCAGCTGTGCTGACTGCAGATGAAAGTTGTGCCTCTCCAAAGCCAATGCCTGCAGTCAGCATATAACAGTGACAGTGATAAACACTGCTTTGCGCTGCTTGGCTGAAAACAGCATAACTAACAACCAAGCTACAAATATTAGCCTATAAATTGAATATAATACAATGAAAATGCGTCAAGTGCACATTTTAGCGCTGATTTGCCATTCTGCTAGGACAGTGTCATTTACTAGAGATGCAGATTACGTTAGTGTGGCCCTGCACCACTACAAGTCCAGCAGAGCACAGAAACTTGTGCAGTTGTGACCCACAGAAACACTGAAGAGGGTTTTAAAAACACACACTTCATTCAGTTTCTTAAAACATTTTGTTTTTAATTTTCTAGGGGGCAGCAATATACATAATATAAAAAAG